AGATCCGATCTTTTCCCACACTCAGTGGTGCTTGTCCGGACTTTTTAGTTCTGATTTGAGACTTACCGGTAATATGGGACTTTCCAGTCTTGAACTGCAACTTAATTTAGGGCTTACTGGTCTTGACTTTATACCTGATGCGAAACTGGTCGGTCTTGAATTTGGCCTCAACGTAAAGTCACGATAACACGATAACAGCACAGCAGGTTAAAACGACATGAGGTTTAAAGTAGGGGTGCACTGATAAATCGGCTTTATCGGCCCCTATTTCCTTAATTTTGGGAGATCGGAGATCTGCTGATACTTGCATGAGAAATAGATTTTTACCAATTTTTTGTAGTTTTAACAATTGTCTAAGCTTAATTTTATATTTCAGAGCACTACCTCATGGCCAGTTATTGTTTCTAGGATATTGTTCAAAATAAGATTGGAAATTGTGACCTTATACCTGACAGTGTCGCTTATAAAACAAAATCTGTATCGGCCAAAATCGGAATGAGCAGGTCAGACTTTTAGAAATCTGTGATCGGCCAGAAAACTGCAATCGGTGCACCCCAAGTTTAAAGATGGTAGCAGCATTTCAGCATTTAGAGGAGACAAGTTCCCATGATGATGATGATGATGAATTCAACTTCTCTGAATACTTCAAAGTCTGGATCTGCTTTCAGGCTTTTCATCTGAACCAAACAAAAGAAAGGAAACTGAATAAAAGCAGATGGTCCTTACTCTGCCAACAAATTACACAGCAGAACTTTCACAAACTTCACTGCATCAAGGCAGGAACATAATTACAGTTTACACTAGGAGAACAGGGTTTCAAGTCCACTTCACTGTTTTTCATTCTACTTATTCTTTTCGTTGTCTCTTAGTATCACAAGCTGCAGTGGTACTGTTATTTAAAAGGAAATGTAACTATTTCTGCCCTGGTTTTTGTTGGCGAAATCCTTACTTCTATCAGTTCACATTCTTTACAAGATGTTCGTTTCAGCTGGATGTTTTTAAACTTTATATTAAAAATACATTAGTAGAACAAAAGTGATCAAATAAGCAGTTCTAAGAATACTTAAGTCAGCAACAATTTTACAGTAAAACATATTAACAAAGCAGAAACTTATAATAATTAGTTAAATGTTTTATAGCAGGTATAAAATAAAACTTCATTCTTCAAATAATATTTAATCCAGCACCATATTAAAAAAAATCAAAAGGTTTATATTAATATGCTTTAATCTGAGATAACTTAATACCAAATGTAGAATGACTCGTAACTTTTGGACAAATTTTGTAATTTTTTTTCACTAAAAGAATAAGAGTTTATTGCCACTTAAACAAATGCATTACAGTACATGGGCTGTGCTTTCCTCGAGAGATCCATCCATCCACCCATCCATCCACCCACCCACCCATTGTCTTTACCCGCTTCTTCCTTCTCAGGTCACGGGGTCACTGGTGCCCACATTCAACCATCACTGTGCAAGAGGCAGGGAACACCCTGGACAGATCTCTAGTCCATCACAGGGACACATGGAGACAAACGAGACAAAAAAACATTCAATCTCTCACCTAGGGACAATTTAGTTACTAATCAGCCTAACTTGCATGTTTTTGTATGTGGGAGGAAACGGAGTACCCAAAGAAAATCCACACATGCATGGAGAGAACATGCAAACTCCGTCCAGAAAGGCTCCCGGCAGGGATTTGAGCCAGCAGCCTGCTTGCTGAAAGGCGGCAGCCCTACCAACTGTGCCACCGTGCCATACCTCCTGTCCTCAAGCGTTACAGTTGTTTCATAAAAGTAAAAACCTTTCACACATGTTCTAAATGATAGAAATTGATAACTAAATTAAAATACACCTAGAAAAATATATATTTTTTAGAAAATATTTAACCATCCACCCATTTTCATACCAGTTTCCTCCAGTTTTTAATAAGAGGTGCGGTGGGATAAACCCTGATCAGGTCCCCAGTCCATTATCCAGCTCTGCTGGATCTTGGCTCATTTTTAAAAACATTTATCTTCTTAACTTTTGTTTACCTCTTTATGCATCAACTTTAAGTTTTAATCATTGCATCAGCATTCAGCAGTAAATTTATTATGTGGTGTTTTATTTTTTTCCTTCGTCAGAATTATTATTTTTTGTGTATGTGTGATCAAAGCAGTTCAGTCAATTTCTGCTAAAACAACATTCTGCAGCTCAGTAACCAGAGTGGAGTGAGATTGTGGTTTTCTGCATGTGAAAATCTTGTAGAACCATGAAGGGGCCCGTGTCGGCAAACAGCAAGTGCCCTAGCAGAACATCTTTGTATCAGATCTGATTATTGGTCTGAGAGCAGGGCTTTGCTGTAGAGACATCCCCTTATGACCCTCACACATAAACACAGTCAGTCAGGAATGCTCTCTCACTCACTCACTTTCTCCAAACCACTTGCGTTTGCAGAAACGGTCCCAGTTCTTGTTGGTGTGGGCGATGTGGTTAAGAAGACCGACCTTGGCTGGTTTCCTCAGCAGAATTTGCCGCCAAGTACTTTGACTGAGTCATGTATAAAGTAATGTACACAGAAACTCGTGCACAGTGCAGCCTCCTCTGCATCTTCAGAGCAGTGATTGATCTTTTGTGTCTGTCTCCTGCAGAGTCATAAACAAACACGTTACCGTTGTTGCCAAATGCTTTACTCTGCTGTTCCCCTACAGATAACAGACACTCACCGGCTTCTTTATTAGCTACACCTTGCTAATACCGGTTTGGACACCGTATTGCCTTCAGAACCGCCTTCATTCTTCATAGCATAGATTAATTGAGATTAATTAATTGATTGAGTTCTAGAATTGCGCCGCTCAAGGTGGCTGCATGTTGGAGCAGCTCTGTTACTTTCATTCTGAGATTTTGCTTTTGGAAACTTTAATTCCTGGTTTTCTGGATGTAAATCATATTTTTTGGATGATTGTTTCCTCTGGTATCAGATGCTGTGCAGCTGGAAGGATTTTTACTGAAACTTTTTAAGTTTTGGACATTTGTTATGATGCGTAACCATGGCAACAAGGCTGTTTTCTACAACAACAGCAGCTGATTAGCATCTCAAAAGCTCAAATAATATCTCAACTATGGCCCCAACTCTCAAATGAGTTAAAAAGGATGTTCTGTGGACGCATTCTCATCTACCTGCCAGCTGTGCTCGAGTGCCTGACCACTGAGATCCTGGAACTAGCAGGAAACACGGCTCACGACAGCGGAAGGATAGGATCGTCCCTCAGCACCTACAATCGGCTGTGCACAGCTATGAGGAGCTCGGCAGACTGCTGGGAGGAGCGGCCATCGCTCTGGGAGGAGTTCTGCCCAGCATTCAAGCAGTCCTACAGTCCAGGGGAACTGAGAGGACAGCCGAGTCTGGGTGGACGGATCGGACGGCGTCTGCAGCCAGTTTCTTAGGATACACTGTGGGATGGACCTTTACAAGAGATCCTTCCTGCCTACAGCCACCAGCATCTATAACATCTCTTAATGAAATGAGGATAACGAGTTACAACAACAAAATAATTTCCCTTTGGGATTAATAAAGTATTTTTGAATTGAATTGAATTAATCAACGTGATGAAAACCATCCTTAGGGATCCATATTGACATGATTTCACCACCGTGTTCCTGCAGATTTCTCAGATGAGGATTATTACTTAATATTTGTAAATAAATGTCTAAAAAGTAAACAAATATATGTAAATAGTTTATTTTTTAGACCTTTATTTTGTAGAGTTACAACTGTTAATAAATGTGCCTGATGTGACAGTTGGGACAAAACTTTGACTCAGAAACATTTTTTATTATGACTTTATGGAATGAAAAAATATTGAGATATATATCGTATATCGCAATTTATCATAAAATATTGAGATATTAATTTTGGTCCATATCACCCAGCTCCTTTATATATTACTACTACTCCTACTTTGCGGTTTTTCACTTTTATCGCAGGGCTTCAGGGTACGGATCCCCCGTGATAAACGAGGGCCTGCTGTATTTTAATAAATAAGCTCTTGTGGTTTAGATAATAAATATGTGAATGAAAAGTTATTTTTGCAAAAGGTACCCCTGCTCTTTCTCCCATGTATGCATATTTTCACAGAACAAGCGTCTCAGTCTACATTCAAGAATGACCTCATCTCCTGAGAGTCTTGTGTCAGGTTTCATACAGAGCAGACGGGCTCATTGTCCAACTCAAACACATACACAGAAACTCCTTTTTCTCCCTCTTTTCACTGTCCTCATGAGCTGAACATAAGACTGCGAGCAGACGGACACAATGAGGAGATAAAATGTTCATGTGCGGGAGGAAAAATAGTGAAGAAAAAACGTGAGGCCACTGTAGGGACGAGGGGCAGCAGAACCAAATTTGGACCGTGAATTCATCTCATCAGAGCAACAGGCCCTGTTTTCTTTTACTAACAGCCAACTGGCTGAGCTCACCTCTGCACAACCCAGTTAGTTTTTCTGAGTTTTCATTTTGAAGAATGACCTAAAATATATCAAGTCCCATATTATTTTATTGAAAAATGTTCTGAGGCCTTCAGGTGTGTTTAAGGCTTTTAAGACATTTAAACACTACATAGTCTTCAGTTCATTATGAGCCTAACAAATGAAACGGAGGGTAGCCGGACTTCTTTTTGTGTTCTGAAGATGTTTGACTTGTATTCTGAAGCGTTTTCTTATTTCAAAGCTGAAAGGTGCTGAGTTTGCACAGAGTATTAGCTTTATATTAAGCACTGTAGAAGCAAAGCACTACACAAAAATGTAGATTTTTGTTCCCAAGCTACAAAACAGAATGTTGCTAAACAGATGGGCATCATGAGTCACAAACAAAACAATTCTAATTATTAGGTTTTCATTTATGATTTGTTTGGTGAAAAGCTTCTAAAACATTATTGATACACATGCCTTCCCCAACCTGAGCACCTTCATGACTGAGATCTTCTTTCCTCTGATCTCTGTTCCACTGTGTGTCCTCAGTGAAGTACATCCGTGAGGTGTCTCCGCTCTTCAAGAAGCCCTCCCTGGTTGCCGACCTGCCTTGGGACGGCGTTCGCCCGCAATCGCCCAGCTACAGCGGCAGCGACGACTCGGGCTCGCCCAAACACAGCGGCTCCACCAAAGACAGGAAGGTCATCAGCCTGAAGATGTGCTTCATCAGCAGGAACCTCACCATGCCAGATCTGGAGAACAGGTCTGATGCTGGGCTGTGTGTGAAATACCTGAGTATGTGGGAGTTTAGGTGTGGTTGGGTGTGGGATTACTTCCTGTGTCTCTCTCCTGTTCATTAGGTTGGAATGTTTGTTTTGTGAGAGATTAGGAGTGGGAGTAAAAGCCTCTTGTGTGGATGTTGATATTAAACGGCAAGATTAAACTCTCTGAGGACGAGCCCACTTCAAGCCATTCTGTTGGGCATCTTTTCTCTCCCTGAAGGTCACTTTTAGGTCATCATCACTCGTCAGTCAGAGCCATAATGTTTTGGCCGTGTGTGCTTGTGTCTGCCTGTTAGCAAAATATCTTATGAACCACTTGACAAATTTTATTGAAACTAGCAGAAGATCTAAAACTGACTTTTGGAGGCAACCCAATTTAAATTGCTGCAGCTAACTGACCGTAAAAGACAAAAATGGCCATATTTTAGTCCTTTTTACAGATAATGATCTAAAATTATAACAAGCTTTAAGCATGACATTTTGCAGTACCACACAATCTTATGAAAAGCTATTTTCTAGGATTGATCAAAACCACCACAACTCCTTCTTTTTCCAACATGTAATGATCTGAGTCTAAAACTCTGGCATGAAATGCTGCGGGTGATGAGTCTCCCTTTAAGAAATGATGCACACTTATAAGTTGTTTTGTGTGGTTTTTTCCTCCAAAATTTCTAGAAATTTAAATGGTATTTACTTTAAATTGACCAAAGACTTTAATGTATTTATTTATACTTATTTAGGTTTTTAAAGAAAAAAAAGATTACAGTATAAAATATTTCACAACATACATTTGACCTGTCAGACTTGAAGAAAGATAGAAGAAAAAAAAAATCTAAATTCAAGTTGCTGATCAGTAAATCCTGTCAGTGGGAATCATGTTAAAACCTGTTCTACATTACTGAGGGGGAGACATTTATTGTGTGGATTTTGGGCATTTGTGACTCATCGGATCGGTTGGCAAGCATTAATAATTTCTGTGAAATGTAAAACTGTAATTTACATCTATTTTTGATCAAATCTTTGTAGCATTTCCATGTAACTTGGTAAAAATTGAACTAATTATGAAATAAATATCTATATTTATTTGTTACTACTTCTTTCTGCTAAATTTATCCCAGTTTTCACTCGTGTGGTCTAATAATTATCTATCTTCTGCTTCGTGTAGACTGCTGGAGCTGCATTCTCCGGACGGCCAGCACACGGTGGTTCTGCGCTGTAAAGACGGACCGACCGCCAACTCCTGGTTCACCGCCGTACACACCAACATCGCCGCCCTGCTGCCTCAAACCCTCGCACACGTCAACGCCTACCTGGGGGCTTCATCTGCAGCCTCCACACACCCCCATCTCAAACACATCGGCTGGCTGGCTGAACAGGTTTGGGAATATCCTGCCCTAAATCTTTTTATTTTTCTTACTGCTATTTGCTCATCTTCAAATGTCAAGCGTTTGTAAATATATTGCCCAGTGTTAAAAATTTCTAACTGTATCTGACTACATCTGAAAATTATTATTTTCTTTTTTTATGTGCAAATTTCTTTTAAAGTTTTCCAGCAGCAAACTGAATTGTTTTTTTTTCCAGTATTAGAAAGTTGACAGATATGTTTTTGTTGTTGTAAATATAAAATTGCAAAAAGCCCCATCACAGTGTTGTATTTGTACGTCAGCGAACATAACCTGACCTCAAACCTACAGACTGACATTTCCTCTCCAACATAAAAGCACCAGTAGCACAAAGGAAGAGCGTGATTTTTTATTTTTTTTTAGATTAGCGTCAGTCTTAAGTTTAAACATTCCCACTAAATCAGAACTGGTCTTGATTCAGGCTCTCATTCATATCTTTTCATTCAGACCAGTGTTGAACGTCTGGATGTGTGTGGCTCTGTTGACTTTGGCTGCACCCAAACAGGAAACGCAGATGGAAGCTTCCGCTGTTACGTTGTTTCCTTTGACAGCCCACCTGCTCACAGCAGGCACATCCATCATCATGCTGTCTGCTTTGATGTGATTTTTTACTCTGACATTTCACTTTTCCCATCATGAAATACTCACAAGATCCCAAACCACAACTTTTAGGTCAAATTGTGAGTGTGTGGGCTGTTTTAACTCCTCTGCCACCTCACTCGACAAAGTCAGCACAGTGTTAACAGTTAAACACATGCAGTTTATCTCCTCAGATACAGCCTGACATGTTTCTTTTGTAGTTCAGTCCTGCTGCAAATAGTATTCTCACAAACTGGAGGCTTTCCGCTACTGTGGAAGTGATGGCATCTTTTTTTTTTTTTTATCTGCAGCTGAAACCAAAGGCTGACATGCGCTGTTTGATTCAGACTAAAACTTGAACTATAAAGACAAAAGTTCAGACATTTTATTTAATCGTAATTAATCCCTATAAGTGGAGTGTTACATATGTGTGCCACAACCTTCAGCTACCAACTGATGACTGATCACTACCAGCTATCAAAAGTGTTTATCTGGAGAAAAGGGACAAACGATTTTAGTCCCAAATAAATACATTTTACAAACCAGATTCCAAAAAAGTTGGGACACTAAAAAAATTGAATAAAAACTTAATGCAATGATGTGGAGATGGCAAATGTCAATATTTTATTCGTAATATAACATAGATGTCAGATCAAAAGTTTAATCTGAGTAAATGTAACATTTTAAAGGAAAAATATGTTGATTCAAAATTTCAGTGTCAACAAATCCCAAAAAAGTTTGGACAATTAGCAATAAGTGGCTGGAAAAAGGAAATTGAGTATATAACGAACAGCTGGAAGACCAATTAACACTAATTAGGTCAATTGACAACATGATTGGGTATAAAAAGAGCTTCTCAGAGTGTCCGTGTCTCTCAGAAGCCAAGATGGTAAGAGGATCACCAATTCCACCATTGTTGCGCAGAAAGATAGTGCAGCAATACCAGAATGGTGTTACCCAGCGTAAAACAGCAAAGACTTTTAAGTTATCTTCATCAACCGTGCATAACATCATCAAAAGATTCAGAGAATCTGGAACAATCGCTGTGCGTAAGGGTCAAGGCCGTAAAACTCTACTGGATGCTCGTGATCTCCGGGCCCTTAAACGTCACTGCACCTCAAACAGGAATGCCACTGTCAGAATGGGCTCAGGAATACTTCCAGAAAGCATTGTCAGTGAACACAATCCACCTTGCCATCCGCCTTTGCCAGCTGAAACTCTACAGTGCAAAGAGGAAGCCATTTCTAAGCAAGCTCCACAAGCTCAGACGTTTGCACTGGGCCAGGGGTCATTTAAAATGGAGTGTGGCAAAATGGAAGACTGTTCTGTGGTCAGATGAGTCACGATTTGAAGTTCTTTATGGAACACTGGGACGCCATATCATCTGGCGAGATCATATGTCTGGAGAGAGGACAAGGATAGCCCAAGTTGTTATCAACGCTCCGTTCAGAAGCCTGCATCACTGATGGTATGGGGTTGCATGAGCACTTGTGGCATGGGCAGCTTGCATGTCTGGAAAGGCACCATTAATGCAGAGAACTATGTTCAGGTTCTAGAACAACATATGCTCCCATCTAGACGTCATCTCTTTCAGGGAAGACCCTGCATTTTTCAACACGATAATGCCAGACCACATTCTGCAGCAATCACAACATCATGGAGAAGGATCCGGGTACTGAAATGGCCAGCCTGCAGTCCAGATCTTTCACCTATAGAGAACATTTGGCGCATCATAAAGAGGAAGATGCGACAAAGAAGTCCCAAGATGATTGAACAGTTAGAGGTCTGTATTAGACATGAATGGGAGAGCATTCCTATTTCTAAACTTGAGAAACTGGCCTCCTCTTTCCCCAGACGTCTGTTGAGTGTTGTAAGAAGAAGAGGGGATGTCACACAGTGGTAAAAATGGACTTGTCACAACTTTTTTGGGATTTGTTGACGCCATGAAATTTGGAAACAACAGATTTTTCCCTTAAAATGATACATTCTCTCAGTTTAAACTTTTGATCTGTGATTTGTGTTCTATTCTGAATAAAATATTAGATGTTGGCACCTCCACATCATTGCATTCAGTTTTTATTCACAATTTGTTTAGTGTCCCAACTTTTTTGGAATCCGGTTTGTAGAATGAAAAGCCACCATTCCTTGAAAAATGTTTATCACCTGCTGCCTTTCATGACAGAGATTTAGATCAAGATCATCTTACGACGACAATGATATTGTTGCTGTTTTGTTCATAATTTTTACATTTTGAACAAAACAACATCATTGTCGTCATAAGATGATCTTGGTCTAAATCTCTCATCTCATGGGATATAGCAATATCTTGAGTGATCTGTTAGTGCTAGGAGTGTGTGTTGTGAATGATTCAGCTACTATCACATCAAATTTCAGCTCAGTATCTCTAAAATTCACTGAGATGTAGTCATTTATGTTTAGGCTATGGTTGATTAGCTGCGGCAGCCATCTTAAATTAGCTTGAATCATAAATGTCAATCCGTTGATTCTTTTGAGTTCAGTGGTTGTTGACATACTTTAACATGGCAAACACAGGTATTATCACCCTTTTGCCTTGACGCAGCAGGCGACAGATACAATATTCATGCATAATTTAATTTTTCCTTTTTTGAGAAGCAGGAATATTTGAGATCTTTCATGTGTCAAAAGGTCCCAAACATTATCATTTTAAAGTTTGGCAGCTGTGGCTCACAGAGGGGCTCATTTAGTAAAATGAAGGCATAGGAGTTTGATTTAGTCCCATAAATGTGTTTTAAAGGAAAAGCCAACCATAACTGTGTGTGTGAAAAGTTGTACATCTTCACTACAAATCAGTATCTGGTTGTTTGTGTGCATACATTTGGAAAATATTCAAAGTAAATCCTTTTTTCCTTTAGAAGTGTTTCGTGTTTTATGTTAATCAGGACTGCTTTTTTTTTTTCTCCCGACGTTCCTGTTCAGATCCAGCTGGAAGGCGGACGGCAGCAGTACCGGCCCGTTGTCATGGCGCTGACAGAAAAAGACATCCTTCTGTTTGAGTCGGTGCCGTGGAGCAGAGAGTCCTGGTCCATGCCTCTCATCACACACCCGGTGCTCGCCACCAGGTAAACACGCATCCCACAAACAGTTCACTGCGCTTTAAAAGATTCATACCCCAAAAATAAAATCTGCAGGTTTTTTAGTTGTATTTTTCTGTTAAATGAAACGGGACAAAAATAGAAATAGATAGTTTTTGTTTCATTTATTTCATCCATCCATCCATTATCTATACCTGCTTTTTCCTTTTCGGGTCATGGGGGGTCACTGGTGTCCATGTCCAGCAGTCACTGTGCGAGAGGCGTGGGACACCCTGGACAGGTCTCCAGTCCATCACAGGGACACATGGAGACAAACGAGACAAACAACCATTCACTCTCTTTCACACACCTAGGGACAATTTAGTCACCAATCAGTCTAACGTGCATGTTTTGGTCTGTGGGAGGAAACCCACACATGCACAGAGAGAACGTGCAAGCTCCACCCAGAAAGGCCCCCTGGCTGGGAATCAATCCGGCGAACTCGCTGAGAGGTGGCATCTCTACCAACTGTGCCACCGTGCCGCCCTCATTTATTTCAATTTGTCTCGGAAACAAACTAAAGACCTCTATTAGTTCCTGAAGCTTTAGGAGTTTATTTTTATTAGAACTTTTTTTTAATGCTCAGAGAAAAATCTTTAGTGTAAAAAATTGCAGCTTGTTAAAAAAACCAACCTTGTGCCATCTTGCCATCACTCCAGTGTTTTTTAAGTCCTAATGGTAAAAAGGATCAGACTCTGATGTTAGATCGTCATCTTGAATTTAAATCTGCTCATATTATTGGCACAACTTTTTTTAATGTACAGATATCTATGCTTGATCAAAAACGCCTCTGAAATAAATAGTTTGTGAGGTAACTGCCTGGAAGTTTTCAGCTGCTCTCGTTAAAGTAGAGACTTCTGCTATTCTAAGAAAACTCCTCACAGTAAAACTCTGGCGCTGAATAATTTTCACCTCTAGACTAAAATCTTTATGCTTCACAGTCATAGATAAAAACAGAACTGACTCATCTGTGACACATAATCAGAGTAAGAAACTTTACTCTTCAACTAAATCTTTTTTCTCAGTTACATGTCATTGAGCAGCTATATCTTTATTGTTAAATATATTGTTTCAAATTTCTGTTGTTCAGGTTCATTTTTCCTCAGAACCTTGTAAAACCAAAGCAGAATTCATTTTTATAAGTCTATAAAACTAAACATCCAGGACAAACACAACCATCATTCATATTTGTTCTGTTTTGTTGTGTGTACAAACAATAAAATGAAATCTTTATTTCTAAGGACACTTGTGAGCCATTTGTGGAATGAGTTTTGACTTGAGTGCACCATAGAGCTCCACATGTTGCAAAAAAATACAAACATCTGTGTTTTTCCTCTATTTTCTTTTCTCAGTTACAAAAAACATACAAGTTTGAATCTGAACAGCTGCAGACAATTTGATAATTTCAACAAAATGACCACAAAAAATAAAATAAGCATAAAACTCGGACAGCTGCTGGAAAGTTGAGCACGGACTTTAAACGCTGTGAAGAAAAGAAATGGCAGGTTATGGTGAAGTGACCCATTTAGAGACGAAGAGGAGAAATGGTACCAGTGAATATTTATGAATCAGTTTAAAACCAAAAGAAGAGCAGAGAAAATGACAACATTCAGTTCATAATGTCAAAGAACTGACAGCACATCACTTGAAAAACATCCCTAAAATCCCTCCTCTGTCTCGCTGCAGACTGGTCCACTCTGGAAGTGCGCAGGGTTCTCCATCCCAGGGTTCTGACCTGGTGTTCGCCACCCGGACCGGCACCGGGCGGGGCGTAGAGTCCCACATCTTCAGAGTGGAGACTCACTGGGACCTGTCCACGTGGACTCGCGCTCTTGTGCAGGGGGTGCACGCTGCTGCTGAGCTCATCAAAGAAGTTTCCATTGGTGAGTGATGGTGCAAAAACAAATATATAGAAGAATTTTGGTGACTTTGTATTTTTTTAACTGGTTCCATAAGAAAATCGATTTTTATGTAAATTATTATAAAAGCAACAGAATCTCTGTTTAAAAAAAATTAAGCCACCACAGAATTTAAACCATAAGATAGTATCTCACTGGACTGGGACTGTTGGAGACAAGTTGACTTAAAGTTCTGAGAAGATTAAAGAAAAAACTGACAATTGTTTTGTTGCAGTCTCTATGAGTTTTACATTTTTGGCAACCAGCGGACCGTGCAGCCACGTTTTGAGCGGCCAGCATTTGAAAATAACAACTCATCAACGTGCAAGACTGTATTTTAGGCCTTGCACCATATTTGTACCCACCTCGACACCTGCCCTCACATTTATGATATTATCTGTTCAAAGGTTCCTGAACATTTCAGCTACCAACCCACAAAAAACCTGTGAAGGAAACTTGTGATTCTAATTATTGCTGATCGAAGCATAAACATGTCTAAACCAAATTAACAAGGGCATAATGATACACAAACAGTTTTAACAACCATTACACAATTTGTATTCATTTGTGACTGCTGTTTTGTTTGTTTTTTTCCTCAACAACAAAAAAAAAAATCTATTTTGTGTCATTTTTAGATCAATTTTGAGAGAGTTCTCAGCTCCAACTTAGGGAACAATTAAAATAATCTACTGGAGTACATTTTAAAAATTAAAATAGGCATGTTTGGACCATATTTTTAACCCTGAACATGCTGTTTGTCAGAGAGAGCACTTTAGCAGGAGTCATAATACAACTGTAGCACACTCTGAAGACGAGAAAAACACCCACGACTCTGTGACAGTTTAGAAAGAAAACTTTTCTCACATATTTTTTGCATATGTTCTGAACTCGAGCGACATTATTGCGAATGCTGTTCTGCCAGTAATCATAATCCAGTGAGATAATACCTGAAGCTGAAATCAAGCTGATCTTATATTTTCTGCACCTCAGAAGAAACAAACAAATGCTTGTGAAGTTCTGAAACAAGGACAATGGAAGATTGTGTCACGATTAATGTTTATGAACTCTTGGTGTAATTTTTTTTTTTCTCAATTTTAATGTTTTAGAGCATCTACAGCAATGAGATATACCTCAGAAAATTCACAGAGTTGACCGTACAGCTTTTATTTCAGGAACCATGTGCTCACATCCAGCTACATGTGCTGGTTTTACCCTCTGTGTGTGAAAGAGTCAGAGCGTTAGCCGCCATGTGGTGTAAACAAACCTGTACTCAGAGGATGTGGCTTCACCTTTTTGTATGACGTAAGGCTTTAAGAGGAATGTTGAATGAAATGTAGTTTTCTGGAGATGGTAAATGCTAAATATTTCAACAAATAAAAATCTGTCCAGAGGACCTGACTTAACCTTGTTAGATTTATCTACCTGGATTATTGAGCATGCATCCGGACAGTAAACAAATTACTTGTTAATCCCATTTCTGCAAGCACACATCAAAGAATGTTTTCTACAAATCTGTAGTTGTCAGAGTGCTCTGAGGGTGACAGGAAGCTCCTGACAGCAGCTGCTTTACAACAACCTGCTGCAGCTCAGATCAGCTCTGAGTCAGAAGCATACAGGCAGGAGGCAGCAGCAGAACAATAGTTGGCTGTAGAAACAGAAAGACTCAGTCTTTTTTTAATTCTCCCTCCCTGTCCTGCTGCTACACAAACACAGTTGTGCAAGAACAGTCGGGCCTCTCATGTTACAGTAATGAACTTTTGGATGTAATGTTGCTCTGCGGAGGGCTGGCAGAGCTTTATGGTTAAAAAAAAACAAACGCTCGTCTTTGTGTTGTAACGTAACTGTAATTGTTCTCATGGGAACGTATGAAATAAAAATTGAAAAAGTTTCTCTTGAACTATATGAAATTGTGCCGTTTGAAAGAGTTTACTTCCAGTAGTTTTCTAGATTGAATGCATTTCTGAAATGTGGGTGTGCACTCATTGTAAACAGAGCACCCATATTAACCCGGTAAAAACCCCACAGTGGCTTGAGTCACATGATTAACCTACATTCAGCTGGCTGTGGATTGTACGTTAACAAATATGGCCGATAAGTTTTAGCGTTTGACACATTTTTAGTCACTGCAGCTGTTTCTGTGGGTAAACAAACGCTTGTTTTAGTTCGCTTCCAATCTCAAATTTTTATTACAAATTTTTAATTTAAATACACATTAACCATCAACATGAGAAAATCTGTCTTCAGATTTAGTTTCTTACTTTATGAATTTTTTTTGTCCAGTCTATGACTTTGCAACAAGTACCTTTTAACTTTATTGAATATTTAAAAATATTTTTGTTACTATTTTCAAATGAGCTGTCGGTATTTGATCATGTTAGCAAGCCTGAGGTGGATATTTAAGTCACTCATTCCTCATTTTTGGCTATTTTTATAATTAAAATATATATATATATGTGTTAGCTTTTTACCTATTATTTATATATCACTCTTACTTCCCTAAGTTATTTCATACTTTAAGCCATTTATTTCTACCTGTAAACCTAAAAAAGTTAAGTCAGGTCCTCTGGACGGATTCTTCTTCTTGAAACGTTTCGTCATTTATCCAGAAGACTTCGTCAGGCTGAGGAGCTGCAATAAACTCAGTCTTATTAATAGCACCTTCTCATAGTGGATCAACCAGTTTGCTGGTGACAGCTAAAACTAGTTGTTCACATGATTTTGGCTATCACCAGCAAACTGGTTGTTTTTGTCCATCCATCCATCCATTTTCTTTACCCGTTTATTCCATTTTGGGTCACGGGGGTCGCTGGTGCCCATGTCCAGCAATCACTGTGCGAGGGGCGGGGTACACCCTGGACGGGTCGCAAGTCCATCACAGGGCCACATAGAGACAAACGAGACAAACAACCATTCACTCTCTCACTCACACCTAGGGACAATTTAGAGTTACCAATCAGCCTAACATGCATGTTTTTGGTCTGTGGGAGGAAACCGGAGTACCCGGAGAAAACCCACGCATGCACGGAGAGAACATGCAAACTCCACCCAGAAAGGCCCCCGGACCGGGGTTTGAACCAGGGACCTGCTCGCTGAGAGGCAGCAGCTCTACCAGTTGCGCCACCGTGCTGCGGTTGTTTTTGTTTTGTTTTTAAAGATAGGATGGTTAGAAAAAGATATTTGTGATATAAAATACATAATCTGATTTTGTATTTCCTTTTTAATTGCCCTCTCTTTCAGGCTGCACGTTGAACAGACAGGATGTTCGGCTCATGCTTCACTATGAAAACGGCTTCACTGTGACGAGGGAGCTGGTGGACCAAACCGGGGGCTCCGTGCTCTTCAGGTACCCCTACAACAAGCTCAAAATGTCCGCCGACGATGGAATACGGAATCTTTATCTGGACTTCGGAGGTCCTGAGGGAGAAATGGTAAGTTTTGGAGGAAAAAACAAAAAGATGTATAAGCATAACTTTTTAATCTCGTCCAACAGACTAAATTAAATAACAAAAATGAAAGCAGCATTTCTTAAAAACAAACAAAAAAAATGCATACTGCCTTGTGCTCGGAGTATGTGTTGAGGATGACTCTCAGCCACTCCCACACAAAATTTTAGCTCAATATCCATAAAAATGCAGGTTTAGAAAATGTACATATATATATTGTGCTTAGAGGAATTATAAATAAACAAACTTTAGATAAAACTATAAACATTTCATTTACTCAGCGGGTCAGATAATGTAGTCAGGAATAGATAATTAAAATTAAGTGTGTCTTGTTTGTTTTGTTTTTTTCATTCCATCTTTTCTTCCTGTGTTTATCTAACGTCTTCCTTCCTTCCTTCGTCCTGCAGGTGTTCGACCTCCACTCGGGCCCGAAGCCTGTTGTGTTCGTCCTCCACTCCTTCCTCTCGGCGAAGCTCGCTCGTATGGGCCTTCTGACGTGAAGCATGTAACGGCGACAACAAAAACTTAAGGACTTCTTTTACAATTTATTACATTTTGTCCAGTTTCCTAAATCCCAGCTGCTGGTAGACCTGAGGTGGCGCTGCGGGGGGGGGGGGGGGGAGTGTAAGGCGTGGGTCATTTTGCTTATTGTCTTAAAAGTATGCCTTCCAGCTTCCCGTCAGCCTCGGCAATCACCTGTACTGCGAGCTGAGATAACACGGAGGGCAGTAAGAAGACTTTTTCAACAAACAGATGATAGGAGTCTCATAACATTCCACAAAATAATGTTTTAAACTTTATGTAAGGAAAGGTAAGATGCAGTGATGTGCTCAAGCTATGGAAAAACCTGTGCACGCCAAGCACACGTTGAAGCATGTCCAACAAAGGAAAAGTGTTTTTAGATAAATAACTGAGTTAAATGCTCCTCTCTGCCTATAATTCCGTAACAGCCTTCCAACATCCTTTAGGTGTTTTTTACAGCGTTTGTTTGTTGTGTCAGAATGAGGAAGATGCTGTTGTAGAGTCACGGTACAGTTTCCTGAGCAGAGATGTGAACGAGGAAGCAACGGTGTCTCTCCATACCACACACTTGGTGTTGGCTTCATAGTGTGTCTGCACATTATCCCAAACTACTGTTTGTAATCAGGATTGCCAACTGTGCCTTGTTTCATGGAGTGAAAACCACTCCGTAATGTTTTCTATTTTATTCCATATAATAGGAGGCTTTAAGCTTCGAACATACACATGCAATAGTATTACTCAAACCATGTTACTGTGTTTTTTAAGTGTATATCTCCTGACAGCATGACTTCCTGACATTGAAATGTAATGATTCTTTGTTTCCTCTTATCTTTACATTTCCACGTTTTCCATCTAAGTGTGTCTTTCCACTTCACTTCAGTTTTTACTTTTATTTTGTCCACCCTAACGACAACAACTGTGTTGCGTGTCAGGAAGGTTTGTCCAGCATGCCATAGGCTGAAAACCCAGGGGTGGGTGTTGTCAGACCACACCCAGTTCTGGAAAAACAGAGATTGTTCCATCCAAAAAAAAACATTTCAGGAAACTATACTTTTAATGAGCATTATATAAAACACAAAGCATATCTACCATTTTACAAACAAAACAGCGCTTTTATGCCTTTAAAAATGTATTTTGCCCCCCCCAACCCCACCCCACCTTCACTGAAGGCATTAGAAATGTGCAGAAAGTTGCTCAGATGGGGGAGTTAGCATGAATAAAGAATGCCCAGTAAGCACTCACATGTGACAGCTTCTCGTTACTGTAGTGGTGAGTCACTTCCCCGTCTCGGGAGTTTGGTTCCCAGACAGGACCATTCATATTATTGTCATTATTAGTAGTATTATTAATCTATGCCCACCCCCATCCCCAAGGATTGCTCTTAAATAATGTCCCCCCAATAATGAAATGGAATTTTTGCCCCAGCATTACATGACAGAGCCTCAAATGTATTTTAGTAATAGCTTCATATTCAACCCTCCTGTGCCCTTGGGTTAAAATGATCCATGGCTTCAGTTTAAAATTGAAACCTCGTGAGTCGTTAACCCAAGGGCAGCAGGAGGGTTAAGTTGATTCTCATAAGTTACATTTTCTCTGATCTTTTGGGCCTCAGACAATATACAAAATATACAATTGTGTCCGCTGACTTTACACCATAAGAAAACAAACAAAATCTGTTCTGTACTTGGATAAGATCATTCCTTTCTCAGTTACTTTTTTCTGTTGTAAAGTTGATGTCTTACTAATTATTTAAACTTTTAAATGAAAGTGAAAGCACAGCATTGTATAGTTCCTATTTCCTGTTTCCTTTTCAAGCTGGTTAATTTTATTAAAGCAGAAGTAGACTTCACATCACATGTATGTGGTGTTTCAGATAGTCAGCTCAGTATAAATTTAGTTCCGATTACATTTGAGGCTTTTTGAGAAGCTTGTGATTTTATGTTGGTCATGTTGCCGTCACCTGATCAGATTCTGTTAACCTGGTTAACCTCAAGCTTCAGGCCGTCCCATTTCAATTTCAGAGCACTAACCCCTTTAAACCTGTGAATGTACACTTGTCATGAAGACCTTCACTCTTCTGCAATCATGGCTCTGTTGTCTATGCAAATTAATGCATCAAAGAACTTGTTGTTTTAACCAAAGGTATTATTTGTGGCAGCTTGCGTCCTACACAATCACAAAACTAAAATCCACAAGAGGATAAAGCGCTGCTGCAACAACTTGTCAAATGCAAAGTATTTTAGATTCCTTACGAGATGCAGTATACAATGTGTAATAGTTATGTAGTTATCTAAAATGTAAATACCTACCAATAAAACTCTTGATTACATTAAGCTTTGTGGTGTCTTTTTATATATTTTTTTTTTTAATGGCACGTTTTTAATAATGTACCTTACAGCATCAAATCGGTTTTACTTTTTCAGTACATCTTATTTAAGACACATTAGTCTGTGTATGCATTATTTAAAAATGTAAACCTTTTGACATATCAGTTTAAATGTTTCATTAAATATACACATTTAGGTCAGTTTTAAACTGAATGTTTGCCTCACAGATAGTTATGATCATAACTATGCTGGTGTAGATTCTCAGTCTTCCAGAACCCTTAACACCCCCCCCCCCCCGTAAAAAGTAAGTAAGTAAATAAAATTAAAAACGACAAAACTGGACTTCTAATGTGTATTTTTCAACTACAAAATGGAATTTCAGTAAATCATGCTTTAAAGTTTATGTTGCAGTAACAGATTTTGCCGCTAGGTGGCAGTAGCTACATTCGGCTTGACATTGGATCCGTTCAATCGGATAATACGGTGCATATTTTTATTTTAAAATTAAGAGCATAAACGTTTTATATTTTACATAAAATAAAACAAAAATTGCAAGAAGCTCAGCTGTGATTTATCTGAGACTTCTGTCAGATATGCTTTTGTTTAGTCAGACTTTTTCTACAGCGCTTTGAAAGTTTTAACCGGAAGTACTCATTTGATGGAAGCGGCTGCAGCGTCGTTGCTAGCGCTTTAGCCACTGTTTTCTATTGTCATGTTCCGAATAACCCGTTAACTTAAAAAATAGAGCTGTTAATTATTTGTTTTCCTGTATCCACTTTTGGGGAGGGTCAGAAAATATAACTTGGGCGGAGAGCCGAAAAGTGAGATGAAATGACAACGTCAACATTACAGGTAGGTGTGCTAACGTTAGCTGGCTAACATAACTAGCACCAGCTTGTTTTTGTTCGGTTTTAGAGGTAACCTTTGAGTTTGAGCTAAGTTGATGTGTTTATATCTTGGAGGTGACTCTAAAGTCCCCATAGTTGTATTAGCTTTATGAAAGTTAGCCTTAATTACCGAATGAGAGATTTGAAGTTGTGCCTCTGATTTAGAATCAAAATAAGATGTTGACATCCATTTAGTAGCGTGCTTGTTTATTTTGTTAGCTGAGCTAGCATTTGGGCATTTTTGTCTTCAGTATCCATTTAAAGTCTAAAAACAAAACGTATCTGGCGAAAAATCAACAATTTGTTATACTTTATTTTAGGACTTCTGGATTTTGACAGGTCGCATATTCCGTTAGTTGCACATTTTAAAATCTCATTTGAGGTAAAAACGGGTAAATCCGCAAACGGCTTTAAAATTGGTAAAACTAGATTAAAACATTTTGAGCAAAGGAGTAAGTTGGTCACTCAGTGATACGCTTGTGTCATTTTCAGTGAAAGAAAACAAATATTTAAACGTTTTATGAATCGGTAGTGAAGTTTTTATGTATTCTAGGAAACAGAAAATATTTTATAACATCAACTGGTTGCGTTTTGATGAAAAAAAAAATATTGAAGCAGAGGCTAACCTAGGCAGCTAATGTTAGCATGCTAGTTAGCATGCCCTGCAGTCGCTCCACTTGAGACCGATAACATCAAAATGTGGGTGGGAAAGGTGAAACACCCACACCTGCCTCCACCCTCATTTGCCCCACTCTGGGCCCTTGAGCAAGGCCCTTAACACCCACCATCTGCTCCCAAGCAGGTCTCTCTTGAAAATGAGTCCTCAGTGAGACTGCCTGCATAAATAAAGGTTAAATAAAAATAAAATTAACAAAACTTGTTTATCATCTTTCCTTGTACAACTGGATTTTTCTACTAGTGATACTGATGAGCTGTAGGTTATCAATGTGTAAGGCTAAATCTTTGTTGCAAGATGATAATCCAGTAGATATCTTACCCTTAACGTGGCTGGACTCTGCTCAAATAACAGGATGATTCTTTATAGCATTAAAAGGTTTTAATCAAGACAGGGCCCAATATGTGTTGCAAAACTGAATATAAAGATACAATTCTAAGTCCTTCTTTGTTATTTATTTCCACCCAACGCCTGTTTTTCATATTTGTGAATCTCCTACAGAAAGCCATTGATCTTGTCACCAAAGCCACAGAGGAGGACAAGGCGAAGAATTATGAAGAGGCCTTGCGCCTGTACCAGCATGCTGTGGAGTATTTCCTACATGCCATCAAATGTAAGTGTTGGACTGTAGCACCTAACTGTGACTAAGGTGGAGTTGAGTGATTCTCTGTGCTGGTGGTGACTGAATCTTGGTTTCCAGATGAGGCCCACAGCGACAAGGCGAAGGAGAGTATACGAGCCAAATGCATGCAGTACTTGGACAGAGCGGAGAAACTTAAGGACTACTTGAAGAATAAAGACAAACAAGGCAAAAAGCCCGTCAAGGAGGCACAGAGCAATGATAAGTATGGCATCACTCCACAGCAAACACATTCATTGTTAAATTGGAAGCCAGCCATATTGTGTTTTCATGTTTTCTATGTATTTTTTGTTTAAGGAGTGACAGTGACAGTGAGGGCGAAAATCCAGAAAAGAAAAAACTGCAGGAACAACTCATGGGTAGGTTCCTTGTATGAAAGAAAAGGAAAGAGAAGGCACGCTGGAAGACTGAAAGAAGGATGCAAAAGTTTATCTTTTGAATCAAAATATCAAAGTAGTTTCAACATAAAAGCCACTCATTTTCAGTTGTTCGGAGCAGATAAGGTGTAATACGTTTTTATCTTCATTGTATTGTGCGTTTCTAGGTGCTATTGTGATGGAGAAGCCTAATGTTAGGTGGAACGATGTGGCTGGGCTGGAGGGAGCGAAGGAGGCTTTAAAGGAAGCGGTCATCCTCCCCATCAAATTCCCTCATCTATTCACCGGTACTGTTCAAATCTTTGCTCTTTAATTCTGTTTACATCTTTTATCATACAAACTGTGTTTATATACTGTTTTCTGTCGAGATCCAGTGGAGTTTAAAGCTATTTTCAAGTACAAATGTAGATCAGAATTACTTTGTCGACGCTAAAAAAACTCCTGTGTTTGACTGCCCTTATTTGAGCATTTCTTTATCTTCAGGAAAGCGGACTCCCTGGAGAGGAATCCTGCTGTTTGGTCCTCCAGGAACTGGAAAGTCATACCTGGCCAAGGCTGTGGCCACTGAGGCCAACAACTCCACCTTTTTCTCTGTGTCCTCCTCAGATCTCATGTCCAAGTGGCTGGGAGAGAGTGAGAAGTAAGTTTGTACCTGTTCGACACAGTGTTCATGAGAACGTTCAATAGAAAACATAAATGCAGTTTTAACAAGTTCAGACATGACTAGAGGTTTGTAATTTTAATACTGATTTTCTCTGTTTTTTGTCTTCCAGGCTGGTGAAAAACCTCTTCGATCTGTCTCGCCAGCACAAGCCCTCGATCATCTTCATCGACGAGGTGGATTCGCTGTGCGGCTCCAGGAATGAGAACGAGAGCGAGGCGGCCCGCCGCATTAAGACAGAGTTTCTGGTCCAAATGCAAGGTGAGGCGAACAAAAACAACACACCGAGTGCTGTCCAAGTTATGTTTAAATTGTGTAAATATGTTTCATTTTTACATTTAAAACATGTACCTTTTATAAGTCAAAGTTACAAAGCCATAACGTTTTTAAACCTGAAAAACAGAGAATGTTATTAATGTAAATATTAAATGTTATAAATCATATTACTTGAGTAAAATGAGTATAAACGGGATGACTTTTTTTTTTTTACAATCTGAAAAAAAAAAAAGTCGTATATATGATGACTGAAGCGTTGTTTTTTAAATTATTTATCTTTTCTCTTCAAGGTGTGGGCAACAACAATGATGGTGTTTTAGTGCTTGGAGCCACCAACATCCCCTGGGTGCTTGATGCCGCCATTCGCAGAAGGTCAGACTTTACCTCCAAAGTTAAATGTGTTTTTGTCCTTTTGCTTTGATCTCTGTATGGTGTTTTCTAACCCAGCCTTAAAGATGTGATGTAATCAGCCTTTTTTTTGTTAGTTTTGTGGCGGTATCATGCAACCTTATGGAGTCAGTCAATCAATCAACTTTTATTTATAGAGCCCTTTATGACTGACAAAAGGTGCACAAAATGCTTCACAGTATAAAAGTTAATAACAAACAATACAAAAGTGCCAAGAGTGCCGCAGCCCGCCTGAATAAAAAAAAGTTTTAAGATTATGATAGATTTAAAAAGGCCCAGATCAGTTGTAGAGCACAAGTTGGTAGTTGCGTTTTCATCAACACACACGTGTGACGATGTAAACGCAGAACAGATAGCAGTGAACATTTAAACATGACGGTCTAACAATGTCCAATTTATTTTTGTGACCAGTTTGTGCTGCTGGCCAACATCGGTGCACATGTAGCCTTTATTTGACACTGAATTCACTTGTTTTTATGAGGTTTGTGTGAATATGGGACAGATCAGAATGGAAATGGATTGTTATAATTTTTGTCTCTATCAAATCTAAACCAAAACATAAAAACAACTTTAAGAGCCTGTGGTACAAGCTAAATATCATTACAGGAGGAGTGACTCATTTACTGGTGCGCATTGTTGGAATGACAATTATTTTTTTTTTTTTTTTTTTTGGGGGGGGGGGGGGGGGTGTAAAATTCAAAAGTTTAAGTAAAATCAGGAGGAAAAAAAAACCTTCACGGGGTATATGAGTGATTTCAATCAAACTAATGGTCCAAGTTGCATATATGGTCACCACAGGGTCCTAATTACAAGGAAAAGTCTTAAGATTTTTAAAAACCAGTCACGTCTTCATGCTGAAACCAAATGTTGGCAGCATGATGGATCAGTGGTTAGCACTGTTACCTCACAGCAAGAAGGTCCTTGGTTCAATCCCCGGTTGGACCTGAGGTCTTTCTGTGTGGAGTTTGCATGCTCTTCTCGTGCTTGCGTGTGTTTACCCCGGTTTCCTCCCACAGACCAAAAACATGCATGTTAGTCTTCCTTCAGGCCCAGGCCTCCCTTGCAAAAGAGATCTGATCACAATGGGATTTGCCTGATAAAGGTTAATAATAAATGTAAATAAAATTAGATTTGTTCTCCACTGGGTCAGATTTGAGAAACGGATTTACATCCCTCTGCCGGAGGAGCCGGCCCGGGCTCAGATGTTTCGACTTCATCTGGGCAACACGCCTCACAGCCTGAGCGACGCCGACCTGCGGGAGCTCGCTCGCAAAACAGACGGCTACTCAGGTGCTGACATCAGCATTATCGTCCGAGACGCTCTCATGCAGCCAGTTAGGAAGGTCCAGTCAGCTACTCACTTTAAAAAGGTGAGGGAAAACAAAACCGCTTATGCAGCTATAAACATTTTTCTCTTTCAAGTTCAAATTCTCCTCGTGGCTTTCTGTGCTTAAAAAGGAGCATTTTCCTGCAGGTTTGCGGTCCATCCAGAAGCAACAACCAGCTGATGGTGGATGACCTCCTGACTCCCTGTTCCCCTGGCGACCCCGCAGCCATCGAGATGACCTGGATGGATGTGCCAAGTGATAAGCTGCTGGAGCCCATAGTTTGCATGGTGAGATGCAGAAAAAGTAAATATTTATCATTTTCTTTTCTTTTCTTTCTTTTTTTTAGCAAGTTTGTACTTATAAGAGCTGCAAGGTAAAACTAATCTTCTAAAAGAAAAACAGCGACAGCTGCTGTGTACAAATACTGAGTTTTACTAAGAACAGATCAGAGGTTTCATGCTCCAGTTTAATGTAAAATCTTCAACAAGAAAACTGAACAGGAGTTCCCCTTTTCAACACGAGCTGAGTTTCAGAGTGATCAAGTCAGATCTCATCAGGTTGTGACTGTCGCTGAGTAGTTTGTGAGAGACTCCAAAACGTTGGAGGGGATCCTTAATTTTCTCATGCGAGTCACAGAGGCGTGTGTTTCTTGTGCGATCTTGTGCTTGTATTTTGAACATGTTCGAAAACTAGTGCAACAGAAGCCTTTTCCGCAGGCGTCTACAACTCGTCTCAGGAGCACTTGAAGTGTTTTGACTCCTGAACGAGAGCTCCCCTCTGACAGAAAGCACCTGAGGCTACAGCTTTGAATGTCCAGGTCTTAAAAAAACACACTGATGATAAATTATAACCTTTGAAAAACAGGTCCAGATCTGCCTTTCTTCATTTCAGAAGTGCACTTCAGTAGAATAAATCATAACTCTTAGGTCATTTGTTTCATTGTGTGGGCAGAATGTTTTTCAAGCCGGACACCTAAAATGAGCTGTGATTTGTGGGGGCAGCTTGGCCCAGTAGTGTACCAAAGTATCCTTGGGCAAGACCGTATCCCAACCAGGACAGCATGAGTGAGAATTTAAATAAAAAGTGTTGTACATAGTGCGTAAAAATATATAAATGGAAGGCGCGGCATTAGTGCGTGTATGGTGAAACTTTGTGAAGAGCTTTGAAGAACCTGGAGAAGTTTAAAGATTTGCTATAATGTAGCAATATGTAATATTTAATATAAGCAATACTTGTATATTATATAAGTTGTGAACCATTTACCATTTTGAAAAACTCCCCACACAGGACATGGCTGCACGACTCACTCAGTAACTGTTGAAAACAGACGTCAACTGAAACATTGCCCATTTTCTCATAATTTTGAGTCACAAACTATCCTCCAACAATGACAACACAGTCAGATGCTATAGTACCACAACTGGTGATGCTAGACTTCAATTTGAATACAGGGGACTGATAAAGGAACTTCGTTTATGGTATTAAAGTAAACGACTCATTCAAGTGTTGGGATGTCAAAGGCTAGCTAAAAGTAGCAGGACAACATGAAACAAGTAAAAGAAGACAAAAATAGAGCCAGTAAGCAGGTTTTTAAAGATGATGTTTGAAGGAATTTGAGATCTCAATGCATTTTTTTGGAGAGGTAAAATGTTGTAAATAAAGTTTTATTATATGTGTAAAAGCTACAAAAATCGCTGCACCCATCTCCTGAAGGAGCTGAACGATTCGATACACGAATGGCTAATGTGAGTGTTGAATCAGCAGAATTTAAAGCCTGGAGATGCGTCACGGAGGAAACTGAAATGTTGGATGTAAAAGTTTTAATTTTAATAAATGATTTGGATCTGTCCCCCCCCCTCTGCAGTCGGACATGCTGCGCTCTCTGTCCACCACCCGTCCAACAGTCAACACAGAAGACCTGCTGAAGGTCAAGAAGTTCACAGAGGACTTTGGGATGGAGGGCTGAGACACCGACTCCCACCTTGTGTGTCGTCCACCTTAAGGCTCCAATAACGACACCCCCGCCTCCTCACCCGATTCATCGCTGTGTAGGCTCTCATCTCTCAGCTGGACTCTCCTTCCTCTCATGGATGTGAAAAATAAACGTCTTCAGTTTCGGACTTCTACCCGCTCGATCACGAGGGATGCTTACTGAAAGCCTGTTTAGAAAATCTGCGTGACTTTTATAGTTGGACAGTAGATCTCATGTCTTTCACCGCCCGCAGAATCTTCATATATGACCTCTGCTGCGTTTTACGTGAGGAAATACTTTAAAGTTCTCCCCCCCCCCCCCCCCCATTACGTTTGACTGAAGGATCCTACATGTTGTTGCACACTTTGCTTCGATCCCTCCGAAGGACCGAGACGTTTGATGAAGAGACGGAAGTCAGTTCCCCGCCAGGCACACAGGTGTGCGAATGCATCCAAGTGTTTTTATTCAACTTGTGTGTCTTATTGTTCATGTTTAATGGTAAAAGCCTGATATTTTGTTATTTAATGTTGAGGTAAATTAAGTATGTCTGGATCGGGCCTGAACCTCCGAACAACAAGATTGTTAGAAACATTCTTGACCGAAGTATTTTCAATGTAAGAGTTGTGCCTGACCGAGGAATAAATAACCCAGTCTAAAGAAATTTCAAATATTTAGAGCTCAGATTTCAGTAATAAATAAAGAACAAGGCAACACTTTGATACTATTAGAAGTTGGATTTTTTTTGTCACAAGAAACTATCACCAGCTTTTTTGTAATAATAAAAGTTAAATATTTTTAAGGAAAATAATACAAAATAATTCACAGTGGAACAAAACGGTTTTAATTCACACCACTGCCTTTTCATCAAGCATTTAAATGTTTTTCAGGTGGTTTGGCACAATATGCCAGTTTTCTCATCTAGTAGTTTGTTTTACAGAAATCAGATCGGAAAAACAATTTGTAAGTTTTTAATTTTGTCCGGAAACTTTAAAACGTCCAGTTTATTATGTTTGAGTGTGAAAGAAACGCCTAAACTGGAGGTGAAACTTCGATCGTTCCTTTTGATTGACAAACTCTAGGAACTGTTCAGCGGCTGTTTTGGCTTCCAGGTACGAGACAAGATGTCCACGTTTATGAGTAAAGTCGATTTGTGGATGAAAGCGCCACAAAAACCAACTTATCTGTTGCTATTTGTAAAACCACAAAGTAAATCATTTGGCTAATCAAAAGTTGAAAAGGAAAAAATCTTGTTGCTTTTTTTTTTTTTTTTTTAAAGCTCTTTGCTCCATTTTCTCAAATGTTGAATGAAAATAGATGTTTATTATTTATAACTCAATCAGGCACATCTCTTTCTCTTTGCACCTTGACTCCAGTGTTTTATTTATAACTTTTAGTCACATTTTACGTGCAACCAGTCGAGCTTGACACTTGAACTTTGACCTTTCCTGTTGAAGGAGGCCTGATTTTTTGTTTTTGGGAGACAAGTCTTCACTCGGACGTCCCCTCAGACGCTACAGTTTAGTTTTATTCCTGATCAGCTGATTGTAAGCAGATGTTAACTGTTCTGACTCCCTGACATCTGGACCACAGGCTGAACCAGCGATCAGACTCGTGGTGACTTCGTGCTGCAGTAGTACAGATGTGCGTTTGTGGAGGTGCTGTTGGTTCAGCTGGAGATTAGTTCATGTCCGTGTTGGATCCAACCTGCTGCTGGTCATGTAACTATCACTACTAATTTAACCTGACGTAATAAAAACTCACATTTCAAATGAAACCAGTGGGGGTTTAATGTTTGAGGCTTTTTTCTTATCCTGATGCTGTGAGTTTGAACACAGTTTGTCAGAAACATCTGGCGTAAAGTGTTCGCTCGCTGTGGCGACTCCTGCAGAAGGAAGCACCTGAAAACAAAACCAGACCAAGACCCTTAATGCAAGTTGATTTGAAAATTAAAGTTAAAACATTTTGGAACAAGACTGACAATTGCAGTTTGTAAGATCTTTTAGTGCCTGAAGATTTGTTTGCAAAGACTGAGCTTTATTTACGCATCAGAAACATTTTCTTTAAGACAAATCGTTCAAATAATGGAAAAGTAAACAGGTTTTGCTTAATATTTTTGGTGTGTACTTTATTTTTCTTGCATTTTAATCAGTTAAAAGGGGAGATTAAAACCTAAAAGGTTGTTATTTATAGAATGATAAGTTTGTTGTGAAACTGGAAGCACTTTGTGATTCCGTCACTAGAATCAGCTCAATTTCAAAGTATAAGTCAAATCAATTTAAGTTTGAGTGGAGCTGTAGCTACAATTCTGCTAATTGTCATACTGTGCTCAAAAACGAGTTATTTGATCTTTTAGTCTAAACATAAACTTATTATTGTGTGTTAAAACATTTCCTAAACGCCAGATGCTTGTGTTCAAATGAAATAATAAAACGAGAACAAAACTAATTAAACCTTTTTGACACAACAAATATAGCAACAGATTAAAACCTTCACAGTATTTATGTTGTGATTGTTTTAGCATCAAGCTAAAGTTATAACATAAAAACAGATGAAATGCGTTTAAAAAGATTTCCAAGTGTTTTTGTTCTTTTTGCCTTCAGTTCAAACATGGTAGTTTTAGAAGCTCTAGAAGAATTTAAAATCTTTTAATTAGGGGTAAACGACTGGTTTTCTATTTGTTTTACATCTACTTGTCTAATTTAACTTTTTTAATGTTTATAAAAAATAATAACCCCACTCATGGAAGTCTTTAATCAGTTCAGCTTTTAGCCACGAGGACTCTGAGCACTAAAAACTGAGATTTGATCGTATGCCGAGCTGAGGATCAAATCTGACAGGTCAGATTTTAATCTAATACTGATTATTGAAGGCAGATAATCTAAACTAATAAAACGTGGATCCAGGGCAGCTGTGGGCAGATCCATGGAAGAGATCGCAACATTCCTGTTCTCAGAGAAACGAACCAAAATGTGTAACATCCCAAAACGACCTCAGCAGCAAAACCAAAAAACTCAATTTAACAAAAAGACTTTAAGAGTTATAATAATTAAATTCAGATGAATATCAACACCGTGGGCTAACGTAATATATCAATAAGTTTGGATGCTAAAGAAAATGTAAAAAAAAAAAATAATCCAAGTTTGTTCGGTCTTTATTTTGATTTCCAGCAGAGAAATCTGATCCTTCTTCCTTTCTCAAAACAAGATCAGAGAAAAATTATCTTTTTGAAGGAAAGTTGTAAAATCTTCACCTCTTCTGGTCATAATTCCCACTGCACCATCTCTCCAGTGTCTGTCAGCTTTAAATAACTAAAAACTTCAGTTCATAAGAACAGTAAAACATTTCTATATCTTTAATAAATGAGGTTTGATTTTCTAAAAATTATGTTTGTTTTTAATAATATGGAATGGTTTGATATGCACAATCAGATCTGTAGGATTTATAATTAAAATGTTTTTAAATGATACGTTACTTCTGTGTAAAAAGTCCAACATGTTGCTTCGGTTTTTGACTCCAGCTGCACAGATGTTGACTCTCATCTGACGGTTTTGGTTTTGCTCCCAAAAGTTCTGCTCCGAAACCTGAGGAGCAGGAGCTGTCGCCTCCAGAGGGCTGTCTGTGTCGCTCCCCGTCGTCAGACTTTGCTCCTCTTGGAGTGGCTCTCGGCCGGAGGAGCGGCTCGCTTGTTTCGATGGTGGGGGAACGTCGGCATCAGCTCCGGTTCGCACGCTGGAAGGAGCAGAACTGTTTAGATTTAACGACGCGCCAGGAAAGCAGAGATCGGTCTTAAATGTGTCTTCAAACTTTAAACTCACGCAGAGGTTTTTCTTTGAAGTACGAGCTCTCCAAACAATCCTTGGCAGTCGCTCTGGTTCAGGAACGCAGATAAACGTCAAGAAGACTCTAAAACAAATGAGACTAGTCAAATGAGACGGGGCTACCTGCGCTGTGGGTTGTACATGAAGAGCAGGTTGAGCAGTCTGTGCCCTGCATCAGACAGCCAGATGAACTTAGTCTTCAGGTTGTTGTACGGCTGCTTCCTCAGGCTGTACTGACCGATGAGGGGGAGCTGAGAGAAACCCTGCAGCGCACACAAACAACAGCTTCTCAGGTTCAACGAAAAACAAAAGAGCACCGTCATTGGGTTCTTGTTGTACAGCGCAAAAGAAAATGTGTGAGAGCAGATTAATTTGGAATAAATAGAAAGATTTGTGGGGATCCCACTGTGAATCCTGGGACTGCAAGAGGGGATGAGGTCTGGAGATGATTTAGAGAAATAAAATTAAATTGAAATACTGTGTTTTCCTCAGAATAGTAACAAGATTAGAACAGAAGTAATAGCCGTTTATTTTGTTTGTGCTGACTGTTTAATCTGGTTTTCAGTGAAAGTTTGGGGGTCAAATCCCCTCCAGAGGTACTTGGTTGAAACTGAAAAGTTTGAAACCCCGAGTCTAATTTTGGTTTATTATGAAAAATCCACACTACCGCTGAGAATCACAGGATACCTCAACATATATTATGGGGCAGCTGTGGCTGAGTGGTTAAGAGCGGTCGTTCTCCAACGCAAGATTTGGGGGTTTGATTCCACCACCAGTCACATGCCACAGTGTCCCTGGGCAAGACACTGAACCTCTCATGACCCTGATGCGTGTCCCATCGTATGAATGTGATCAAGCACTGATTAATCTTTATATAGCTCTAGAAGAGTGCTGTGTGAACGGGTAAATGAGGGCACAGATTGTGTTGTAAAGAGCTTTGAGTATCTTGATCAGATAGAAAGATATAAGAACAGTCCATTTACCATATATTATACAACACACAGTACTGATAATATCAGAACACATCAATTCTGCATTAACTGCTCAATTTCTTAATCCTACATTGGTAAATCACATCATCCAACAGTAAAACAGCTGGAGCATCTCCAGATCTTGCAGCAGTAACTTTCTCTTTAATGTTTAACATGAAATCAGCAACACGAAGCAGGAAAATCTGTTGAGTTCCTCATTTTACAATAAACGCCCATAAACTTTAAACGTCTGCTCCCGTCAGAAGATGGGATTTGTAACTTCACGTTATCTGTATCCCTTCGTTTGTCTCAATGAGGTTTAGCTTTAAAGACCAACAGCTGGAGTCTCACCGGCCAGATGTTCTCGCTGGGCGTTCCCAGCAGCTGCACGATCAGGTCCACCTGCTGGATCTCAGAGGTTCCAGGAAGCAGAGGTTTATGGGCCAGCAGCTCGGCCAGGATGCAGCCGACAGCCCTGCGACAGAAACCAGCCCATCCTGCGTCACTCACTGTTCCAGATGTGCGTCAGCCTCCGAACCACATCCAGTAAACTGTAAATGTGCGACTCCTCACCACATGTCCAGAGCTGTCGTTTGAGTCTTCGTCCCCAGGAGGAGCTCTGGAGCTCGGTACCTGCACGAAGGAGGGACAGAGCCAACAAAGACAGTGAGGGTGGATTACAGCAGGAGATTAAGTTTCCACTGAGGCAGCACAAGCACAGCGAAGCGAGCTGAAAGTGCACGAAGCAAATACAGAAACAGCTGAAGTCGAGCTGAAACATCATTTTTCTTTGATTACAGATGGACCTAAAACAAACGAGTAACAAAACACAGAAAGTGTAAATCAAACTGATCCTTAATAAAACACGTTCTTTATCTTGACATGATGAGATTATTTATTATTAAACGGAGAGAACTGAGGATTGTTACTGTTGCGTTTGACCAAATTAATCTGTATCCAGTCTCGTCTAAAACACGTCAGCTGCTCTGCACTTCGTGAGGCGTGTGAGTGTGAGGAGACACTCACCACAGTGTGACCACTCGGGGGGTCATGGGGGGCTGAGGGATGCCGTACATCCGGGCCAACCCAAAGTCGGCTGCATGAAGACAAACAAAAACAAACGACTCATCGCAGCGGTACGTGAAAAAGGCCAGCAGCCTGCGTGTCGGACGACTGATTAACTTTTGGTGCTATACCAATTCAAGATGGCCGCCACAGCCAGCTGACCTTAGAAAGCACAATAATTAAAGTTAAACTTAATTAAACTATGTGGTCATAGCTGAATCATTTACAACTTCAGCATTAGCTGTTGGGAGACAAACCTGTTTGTTAGCAAAATATCTCATGAACAAGGGAGTTTAATGAAATTACCAGAAAGTCCTCATCTTCAACTGATCAGTTATTTAGAGTCAAACCATTTCAAAAGGGCCGACACAGTTAATTTACATTAACAAACAAAAGTGTCTTTAGCTTTACAGACACTCAGTAAATATTTTGTGTTTGCTGAGAGCCGTTCTGGATTATAAAATGATCTTAGATTGAAACTCTGGGTGATATGCACTCTTTCAACCAGGGATCCCAGCGTTCCATGAAAAAGATAATTCCCAGAGTTTTCCCTGAACTTTTCCTGAGTAAATCCTGAAATTCCAGAAGATTATTCAGTCAAACGAAACGCGCATTCAGACATGACAGGAAGTAGACTGTAGCTTACAGCAATCATTCCTACCAGTAATGAGTACCAGTAATCTAAAACACCATCAAACCCAATCAGTAAGGATATATGGACTACATAGACTAAAGAAGCAGAACGTGGACTCCAGATACCAGAATACTAACATGAACACGTTAAAATCTCAGAAACTTCATATTTTGGGGGAGTGGTGGCGCAGAGGTTAGAGAGGTGGGCTTGTGATCCGAAGATCGCCGGTTCACGCCCCGGCCCCGACAACATCAAAATTGTGGGTGGGGTAGGTGAAACACCCACACTTCCCCCCACCCTCATTCGCCCCACCCTGGGCCCATGAGCAAGGCCCTTAACCCCCACCATGTGCTCCCTAAAAAAAAAACAAAAAAAAAAACAGGTCTCTCTTGCAAATGAGTTCTCGTGGCTCAATGAGACTAACCTGGATAAATAAAGGCTAAATGAAAATGAAAAAAAATTTTAATCAGTAGATAAGTGTTCAGATTCTCAGTTTTCCCTGTCTGGAAAATGTGAACGTCACTTTCAAGGTTCTCCCTGATTTCCAGAGTCGCTGGGAACCTCTTCAAGGAACATTAGATCTTTAATTTGTCAGTGAATTAAAGACTTTTCTTTTTTTATTGCTGTAAAACATAAACCCAACACAGCAAACAGGAAGCTGAACTATGAAAGTAAACTTTCGTTTTACGTTCGAAGGACAGTTTTCATGGTTTGTAACAATAAAAAAGTTGCTTCTAGCTTCCAGCACTTGCTCAGCAGTCTTCATGCACAAAGTAAACACTATTTTATAAAAACTAATGCCTGTTATTTTCATTTTATCAGTGGTATGAACAGGCTAAAAACATCAGAAGCTGCTCCTGTAGAACCTGATGCAGCCGTTTGAGAAATCAAACTGCCATATTTTCCGGTGTATAAGTTGCTCCAGAGTATAAGTCACGCATCAGTCAAAAAAAGCATCATGAAGAGGGAAAAAACATATAGAAGTCATTCGGCGTATAAGTCGCATTTATTATGAATCACCACTGACTCGTCACATTTACTTAATGGTCAAAACAGCTTCATTTCGCCTGGGCAATGCAGCGCCATCCATCCATCTATCCATCGCGGCCAGAGCCTCTAGCTCTCCAGTGTTCCTCCGCCTGCACCAGCTGAGTGAAGCGAGCGCGCACGAGAGGACTCACTGTTGCAGTTCTTAGAAATTTAAAGCATCAGTCAAAAATTGCATTATGAATGGGGGGGGGGGGGGTATATGTCACTTCGGCGTAGAAGTCGCAGGACTGACAAATCTATGCAAAAAAGAACTGTGACTTGTACGCTGGAAAATACGGTAACTTGTGTCAAAAAGTACTAAATCAGTTACGATTTGAATCAGTCCCACCTTCTGTATAACGAACACGTCAGAGATCGCAGTTTTAAAACTAAAACAGTCACTTTTAAAACTAAAACAGTCACTTTTATAACAAGGAAGTTATTTTAACGCTGATGGAGGTCAGGGTGGTGGCAGGGTTCAGGGCGTGTCAGTGCAGATGTAATGTGATTACAATGAAAGCCGTGATGGCGGCGGGCGGTTGCTTTCGGAGAACAAACTCACCGATCTTCACGCAGCCTTTGTCCGTCATCAGCAGATTAGACACCTTCAGGTCCCTGATAACGAGATTGAGAAGGAGGAGGATGAAGCAGCTGCACATCTTCTGTCCCGTTAAAGTGCGGCGTTTGCAAACTGTTGTTTGTGGGAAACGTTCCAACCCGAAGGCTCATTTCTGAAGCTACGACTACAAACTTCATTCACTCCAACGTTAGTTTGACCTGTGCACAAAGTTCTTCAGCATCTCCTCAGTAACTCAGACACACACATCCATGTTTTCAGATTTGGTTATTTGTTTTATACTGCATGTATTCACGTATACACATATATAAACAGGCATTTAATCAGATGCCAAATCAACATACTGCTGGTTATAAAATAACTTGACGTAAAGCCATAAAAATGAAAAAGAATTGGTAATTTCATTTGTATTTCAATTAAACCAGCTAGCTACTGTCACATCTCAAACCTTGTCTAGTTGTTTTGAGATTTTATGTTCCATAAACAAGTTTTATTTAATAAAAACTGTGAATCTTGTTAAGTTTTAGAACATTTTCTGTAAGTTTAAATGAAACAGTCATTGTAAGTTGGTTATTAGCTGTGAGGATGTGGGACTGACCTGTGGATAATAAAGTTGTGGTGCAGATACTCCAAGCCTCTGAGCAGCTGAAGGACAATACATTTGACCTGGAAATAAATACATAAATAAATACAAAATAATTCAAAGTCTATAATGTAAAAGTGTTGCAAACCACAGACAACCATATATACTTTATATTTAACTTTATCATTTGTTTTATTTATTTAGGGATTTTGAGGAAAGCCAACCAAACTTAGCTTTTTTTCTTTTTTAAATTGCAGTTTTAGCTACCATAAAACATGTATTAAAAATAAAAAGATGCCTTTTTAATAAAAAATTGAAAAAAATTTTAAAACTTTTGTTAAACATAAGTGTGTGGGGTTGGATGTGAGCCTGAAAAAAATAACATGAACTAAAGAACGTATTAAACAGTACGTTTACATGTGTTAAAGCTGCGAGTCAAAAAGATTTCAGGAGATCTGCTCGAGCTTACCTGAGCTTCTGAAAACGGCGTCTGCATGTTTTCAAGCAAACTGGCGAGATCCTGCTCACAGTAACTCATCACCAGAAACAAACTGAACAGGAAACAGAAAAAAAAAAAAAGAGAACTAAAACACGAAACACAGCTCGCATACAGTGGTGGACATCAAGTTTGCTGCAACAAATAAAGAGGTTTTTCACATTTTTCTATTAATATGGAACAAAAATGTTCAGATGTGGTGAACTGCAGGAGTAAATAGGATTATTTACATGTTTAAGAACAAAAAAAAAGTATATTATTTAGAAAAAAGCAGAATATCTTGCAAAAACAAAATCAAAACAAATTGAAATAACTGTGAAGCTGCTCAAGGACTTTGTCGGGAAAATTTAGAGCCACGTGACCTTTGTGATAATCTTGTTAACAACTTTACACACAATTACAGATGTGGACAGTAGTTCATCTAAATGTAAAAACTCCCACTCCATCACAAATCCTGCTAATTTTCTTTGGGTTTCTGAGTGTCTGTGTGATACCTTTCCAAATGGCTGCCAACAACAACCTCTTTCAGCTCCACGATGTTGGGATGTCTCAGCCTCAGCAGCAACGTGATCTCTCTGAGGCTGCTGATGGGGATCCCTGACAGGAAGGGAGAAGATCTGACACGTTAACGCCTCAGCGACACAAAAGGTTTAAAAGCATCCCTCTAGAAGGGTACACAAAACTAATCATACATCTTACATACCGGAGATGGACAAAGATGTTAACCTGTTTTAAAGTCTGGTGAGAGTTTATAAAATTTGTCTTGTTTTTATATATATATATATATATACAAATACAAAACTATTTTAAGAATATTTTATGAGATAAATAGCCAGGAGTGTACAAATGGAAACTTTTTAACCAAATGAACACATTAAAAAGTGTCTGATTTAACATTATTTTGTCTTTGATATTACAAACTTTGACAAAGATCTTTTTGTTTTTAAACTTAAACTGGGAGTCTCACCATCTTTCTCTTTGTCCATTCGGACTTTCTTCAGTGCTACAATTTCATCTGACTTGGTGTCGCGGGCTCTGTCTAAATGAAGAGAAGAACGTGTTTAGTTCTTGGACATCTTTACAATCAAACTGATGCACAACAAAATTACACTTACACACAATGCCGTACGTTCCTTCCCCTATTCGGTTGAGTTTCTCAAACTCTCTGACGCTTCTGCAGCTTCCAAACTGGAAAAACAGGCAAGATTAAAGTTTTGCTTCATTCTTGTCTTAAGGATGATAGGAGTTCAAAAATATATATATATTTTTTTATTATCTGTCTAACATCATAGCATCAAAATGTCCAAAGGAAGATGTATAAAACATTATTGCATATGTATACATTTATGTTTGAGTCAAGTAATCGTCCAACAAAACCTAAACTTTTTTTTTTAATATGTCAGAAATTCTTGCTTTCAGATCCATATTCCTGTTTAATATATTCTGTATTTGATAATTACACATGTTGGAGACCTCAAAAGGAAGAAGCAGGTAAATAATGGATGGATGGTTAGAAAAATATATCTAAATCAGTGACTATAGAAAATGTTTCTGATTTATTTGGGCTGAACATCATGTGAAGTAAATCATTATGACCTCCTCTTTATCTTGAAACATACATTTTTTTAGTATGTTTATTTTATTTTATTAAAAAGCATCAGATTAACTTCACAACAAATGTTACAGCTTTAGCATGCATTTTTATGATTTCCCTTACAGTTTACATTTTGACTATTTTAAACATATGCCGGGTTGTATTGGTTACATAGGTTTTTGTTAATATACAGTTAATTTGTATTTTGAATGCGCTGTATTGTGGCAGATACACGAAATCCTTAAACTACCAAAATTAATAATAGAATTTGGCGAGCATCTCCTGAGCTTTTTTTTTTTTTTTTAACTTACCCTGTCGTTTTGAGGAACTGTGAAAGTTTTATTGTCTTTAATTGATTTCAGCCTTATGGTGTCCGGTTCGTCCTCTCCGACATTGTCCATGTTTTGTATATTTACGGCTAGTTTAATAGTTCACAAGAGAAAATAAACGTTGAAGTGGTCTTCTGTTAGACTTCAGCTAGCCTTCAGCTAGCCGCCATTAATGTTTGTTTTGAAGCCGCCTTGTGGACAACAAATAGCTTTTCCGGAGTTTGACGCCGTTTCCCGCAGTCACGCTTCTGCAGCTAAAGTCCATAATGAATTGAAAACCTGCAATTAAAAAGAATAAAACAAACTGTATGTAATTCTGGTCACGAATTAGAAAATAGCAATAATCAAATTTTAGCTTTATCAGCAACTCCTGCCTTCCTTGAGACTGAAATCTCAACCTGCTTTCTCTGAACTTTAAAGCCTTTACTCTTTAGATCTTGGCACGACTAAACTCTTTAACAGCAAACAGATCAGCTCAGTGTGAAAGTCACAGACAAAAATAAAACTGACTTCATCACTTTGTAAGTAAACTCATCTTTGGCTAGTCTGCAACTCCTAAATTAAAATATCACAGATTTTATATTCTGACAGTAATTTATATTTGCTTCTGTTATTATCTACATGTAAAATACTGGAAGAAAAGTTGAGTGTAAGTCAACAAGCACCTGCTTTTTGCAGTTTTAAGGAATGATCACATCATTAATTAAAACATGCACATTACCTCATAATGCAGCAGGTGCAGTTACTGTCCGGTTATTTTCTTCCCAACTATAAATGGAGCAGAACCAGGCCTCCGCTCCTTTATGGCATCAGCTATGGTGATGTTGGACGGCGAGGCGTAGATGTCCTCTCGTGATGGAGCTGTGACGATGATGACAGGATGACTATCAGAAGAGCTGGATGAATCTGTCTCAGTGCTGGGCTGAGGCGAGAGGGGCATCACTGAAACTGAGAGAGAGTAATAATAAAGAAAATTAAAACAATTCATCCTTCCTGAGGTCTATATGAAGTAGAAAATTAATTGGGGTTAAACATTGGATATTTGAGCGATTAAAATGACATTTTCTCAAATAAAATCACATTTGACCAGAACATGAAAGAAAATAATGGCACCATTTAACATAAAAATACCCAGAGGTTGACAAAATAGGGAAATATAACATGTTTAACTTTGATAAACAACAATCTACAACAGTTGAAAAGTGGCTGAAAGGCATGCTTTTAAGAAAATAGAAATAAATCCAACAGTAACGCAGTAAATGCATCATTCAATTCATCAAGTGTTCAGATTCAAGACTCATTTCGTTGGAGCTAAAATGTCATTTTATGACCAGTTAGCATATTTTTCACGTTTAACTAAATAAATGGAAACAGACTGCAACTTTGTGACAGACTGCTTGTAACAAATAGCCTCAATATCTGATTTAAAATGGGTTCTTTGTAAGTTTTCTGTTGCATATTGACACAAGGCTTCTCGTGGGATTAGGAGCCTCTTGATTCACAGGTCAGAGTTAAGTGACTAAACAAATCTAGAAAATTTCACCAACCATGATGGTTTTAAGACCCCCTCAACCATCAAAATGGTTACTGGTGTTCTGGAGCAGCAGGGTATTTCCATTTAACAACCTAAATAAGAGCTACAATAAGTTTTACACCTGATGGAAATTCAAACCTTGACTCTTAAGTGTCCAAATTCTTCCACAAGCTCACTGGAAACATCATTAAAGCCATAAAACCTCTTTTTAATTTTATAACCCATTAAAATTGTTGTTTTTGCAAATACTTGGCCATAAAAATGCAGAACTTTTTCGTTTAGGTTTGATGATCCAGTTCAGTTGAACTAAAAATTCTCTGACACATTTTTATTTTGATATGTCTTGTTTCAAACTTTTGTTTAAACATATACTTCTGCACATATTCTAAACAATAAACTCTAAGATGAAGACTTTTTTCAAAAGGTTCTTTATTGTCATCCGCATCACATGTGGTACATGAGGTGGAATGAAATTGTGTCCTCAAGGTCCCAGTTACACCCAAAAAAGCTATATATATAAAGTATAAATAAAAATAAGCGTTATACTGTACAATGAGCTAAGATATACACTAACAATAATAATATAAATAAGGTGTATTAAGCAGCAGCCTGAACATGAGTCAGTTGTGAGCAGATGGGTATGAATACAGCAGCTTATGGGTAAGAAATCAGCAGCATGGATAATCAGCAGCACAACGTGTCAAATATCCAGTTAAAGTGGCATTACAGTGGTAAAGCTTCAAGGTGGAAGCTGTTCAGAAGTTTGTGGACCAGGATTGGAAGTATTTGGGCTGTTTTATTAAATAGTCTCGTTGAAATGACCATCATCAGCCTCCTCTTCACCTCCTGCTGCTTGTTAAAAAAAAACATAAACGTCAGCTTTGACCTGAAGGTGATCTAAACTGTACCTGCTGACTTGGACGTACCAGTGTGTGTGTGTGTGTGTGTGTGTGTGTGTGCCCAGTTAAATTGGATTATACTTGTTTCCTAAAGCTGTTCAGGCTGTTGGAGCTATATCTTATGAGGACTTCCTGGAAGAGCAATGATTAAACTGACTGATAATGAATTATAATTAGACTCCTCGGAGGAGTAGCTCTGAGTGTAACTTATCCCACAGCCCTGGAAGAAAAAATAAACAAAGTGTCCTAAATGATCCAATCCTGTGTGTAAATTCACATTTCAACTGTTTCCTGTTGGATGCTATTTATTAAAAAAAAAAAAAAAAGGCTGATTTGTTTTATTTTTAACCTAAGTTTAACTGTTTGGTGCCAATTAAAAAAAATTAACCAGTGTCTTCATTTGTCAGGAGCATTAAGATTTTAAAGATTTGATGTAAAGACTGTGATGTTAGAAATGACAACAAGTTGTATCTCACGAACACTTTAATTAGAGCCTCCTGTCAGTTTCTAGTTGCTGATTAGACATCAGTGGGTTTACCTGAAGCTTCTCTCTGACTCGCTCCAGACCCCATCGAGCTCCGGTCAGCTGTGATGAAGTTCATACATGTCCTCATGCATGATGCTCAGATGTTGGTCGGTTCCATAAAACAGCCCGTTTGACTTCCTGTTCGCATCGTCTGTGTCTGTCTGAGCGAGGGACACTAATCCTCTGCAGCTGCTTACGAACAGATCCTGGATTTAAAGGGCACATCTCGTCCAAGTGTGAGTACAAACAGCCTTACAGGAATGGTAGAAAACCAGGGGTGCAAAAATAAAATAAAAATAATGTGATTAAATGATTTGCCAATTATTTAAACTGCATATCTGAATTAAAATGGTGCAAAACAGCATGTAAAATAAATAATATTTGACTAAAATCTTTATTTAAGGATAGAAAAGTTGTGTAATAAAACATGTCTTCCTTTAAGGCTGAGCGTATAGATGCAAAATAAAAACTTTTTTTTTTTTTTTTACTGTGTGAGTAAATATTTTAACAATTACAGAATAAAATAATAGTAATTTCTTAGCATATTGGGGGCAAATTTTCATAATTTATTCTAAAACAAATAAAAACTGATTTAAACCAACAATGGATGAATGTCTCTTCAAGGCTTTTTAAAAATGACTAAATTAAAAATATAATTCTACGGAAGTCGTTGCTGGAGCTCCGTATCTCTTCTAAAACGGGTCAGTTGTCACAGTTTTAGGAGCTTTCAAACCCAGGAGTGCAAACAGACACTAAGAACCTCAAAATACAACCTAACTTATATTTGAACAAAAATGAAAAGCTGACATGGCAACAATTTTTTTTTTTTACATGAATAAATAACCAGGAGGCATAACAAGGCCAGAGTGATGTGTGGATGGAGACAGAGGGAATAACTGGACTGATCAGGAGATGAGAGACAGCTGAGCTAAATGAAACGGGGAGCAGGACAGAGAAAATGACTGAACAGAAAATACACCGACACGTTATAAACCCAACAACAAACGCAAAAAACTACCATAAATATCATAAAAACAGATGTTGACATCAGTTTGTTGATGCATCCGTGAGTTAAAAGGCTCCACCTGTGACTGTAAATGGGGCTTTAGTGCACGTTTTATATGCAACTTTCACATCTGGAATAATTTATAAAGATTCTGGAGCAACGTGACTCTTTAAATGTGTTTTTCAAGACAAGTTTTGCTTATTTCAGCAAGACAATGGCTGTTTTAAGTTTTCAACACTGAGACTACATCAAGTCTTGATTTATACAGTTTTAATAATAAAAACACATGGATACCATCTCTAAATGTTTCTTTTAAAATTTCAGGTCTTTTGCTTGGTTTCATTGTGCTCCTAAAACATCTGGTCATTCAGACGAGAACTGTATCGGAGTCAAAGTTCTGGTTTGTTACTACATTTTTGTTTAACCTGCAGCTCACAGCGTCTCTTCATGTTTGAAATGTTAGAGAGAAACCCTGCGTCCATTACAAATACATGACTCTGAGGTTTTAATTTATACAATTTTTTAACTTGTTTTACTAGTTCATGTCAAATACTATGGAACGTTCATCCATCCATTCATTTTCTTTACCTACTTCTTCCTTTCCGGGTCGCGGGGTCAGGGTCACTGATGTCCATGTCCAGATATCAGTTCAATTCAGTTTATTTATACAGTGCCAAGTCACAACAGAAGTCATATATATATATATAAGTAATTAACATTATTTATCTGAGGAGCAGACTGCTTTGAATTTAACGCCAT